ATTTGTAAGAGGCAACCATGCTGCTTTGTTACTTCATTTCATCTGCCTTGACCAGCACTTCCAAGAGCTGAGACAGGATTTCAAGTCAGAGAATCAGAAAAATCTTTACTGCCCTACCAACTTTGCAAACACTGATTGAGCCAAGCAAAGCAACTTAAAGTGCTGGTTGAGGCAAATTGCAGTGCTCAAAATATACAATCATGGTACAAAGCTTTTTGTCAAGATGAGTCCAAACTGCATTGTACAGGCCTAGTAAGCGCAACTGTGGCTATTTTGACTAGCATTGCCCAAAGCAGCAATACTTTGCATGGGACAAAGGCCTTCCAGGTCATCTGGAAGGAGTGAGAAAAACAATACTAGAAGTTGAAAGAAAATTGTTGGGTGGTGATTCAAATCCTTCTGCTTAAAAGTGCCATTGAACTTGAATTGCTTATTACAGCAGAAAAAAATGACAATTTACAGTAAAAGCTGGTGGTTTTTTTGCTGGAAAGTTTGCTAGCACCCCCTCCTGGTGTATTACAGGAATTGCAGGTTTCTCTAATCTTTTCATCCAATCTTTCCATTCTCCACCAATTAGTAGAACTAAAGAAACTTTTTGGATGAGAAGTGAATGTTTTCAAAGAAAAAAAAAACAGAGAAAGTCCAGTTGCCTTTTAGGAAAAAAAATCACTTTTAGGACAACAATAACTGGATGATTGAGAATCTCCACGGACATCCAGTTCGGTCCTTACAGTATTTATATTATGAAATGCTACCACTGTGGTTGAAACCAAGATCAGAAATATTTATCAAATTATGTATATAATTTAGCTATAACTGTTAAAATAAATGGGAAATAACTGCAGGAATTAAATTTCTTCTTGCATTCCAATGATAAAAATGTTTTTTTTTTTGGCAAATTCCAGTAAATTACTAATGCCAATAATTACACTGCCAATACAGTAACATATGTGGGTTGGGTTAGGTTGGTTGTGATATCAAAGGAATTTGCATAATCTGTTTGGATTGAAGCTACATAGTTAGTTTTATGTTAATTGTGTTATGGGTTAGTTACACTGTACTTTTTTTAAAAAAAAAGTGCTGTGAACAGGCAAAGATCATATATGAAAACACACAGGACAAATTTTTGTTTATCTCTTGTATTCAAGGAGGGCTCTTGCAGAAGCTTCTAAGAGGGGAAGTCAAGATAGCAGCACAACTGATATAGGTGGTCCTCACTCAGTGACCACTTGTTCAGCAACTGTTTGAGGTTATGACAGTGCTGAATAAGAGGACTTACAACCATTCCTTGTAATTCCAGCTATTGTAACATCCCCATGGTCACAATTTCAGGTGCTTTATAACCAGTTTGCAATTATAATGGTGACAGTGTTCTGCAGTGTTATGTTATGTGGTTGCCATTTGCAACCTTCACTGCTGGTTTTCGACAAGCAAAGCCAATAGGGAGGCAGGCAGGTTATAAATGGTGATCATATGACACAGGACACTATAATCGTGCGGGATTTGCCCAATGACAACAGCTAGGACTACTGAAACTGTTGTCCTAAGTCAGTGTGATGTCACATTGCACCTTATGATTGTTTTATTTAGCAATGGAATTGCTGGTCCCAATTACCATAAATGAGGACTACCTTATATGTGTAAAAAAAAGAATCAGAATTTCAGTCGCAATTGTGGCCTTGACTTTTTTTGACACACACACACACACTTCTACTGCAGATGCCCCCAATTCTTGAAATAGGCTTTCCAGATCTTCACATAACTCCCCTCAGCTCTTTCTGACCAGCATACAATGAAAACTGCAATGTCATGTCCAGCCTAGTTCACATGGACTAGGTTAAAATGATAACCCTCAAAACAAAATTATATTTTAAAACACTTCTGTGATAATTCCTCTCGATTCTTATTTCAGGCACTGGTATAGATGTGTGCGTATACTTGTAGATATATAGAACATTTATAATTTCTATTGTTTGGTATGTAAAACTGACAACTAATTAAATGTCCTACATGGATTTATTGGCAGAGGCCTATCCCAAGACTTCGTATTTAGAATATAATACCTATAGGAAGGTGTATGTGACATTAATCACTGGCAGATTTAATTACAGGAAACTCCTTGACTTATGACCACAATTGAGTCCAGAATTTATGTGAGAAATTTGTTAAGTGAGTTTTGCCCCATTTTATGACTTTTCTTGCCACGGTTGTTAAGTGAATCACTAATTAATAACATGGTTGTTAAGTGAATCTGGTTTCTCCATTGACTTTGCTAGAAGGTTGCAAAAGATGAACACATGACCCTGGGACACTATAACCAGATGTCAAGCATGTCAAGCATCCAAATGTAAATCACATGACCATGGGGATGCTGCAAAGGTTACAGGGGTGAAAAATAGTCATAAGTCACTTTTTTCAGTGCCACTGTAACTTTAAATGGTCACTAAATGAACTGTTGTAAGTCGAGGACTACCTGTACTGGAGTGATGTTATTTTGATTCAATTCAACTTTCTTGGAACGTTTTTATCACACTTGAGGTGAGTTGGAAAATGTGCCATACAGAATTGTTTTGGAGCCATGTAAAGACTGTAAGGACTGCTTTGCTTCAATATTTCAGGTGAGGGACACCCCCCCCCTTTGCCCATCTCTTCTATAGAGTAAAGTGCTAGACATCACTTCAGAGTTTATTCCCACAGAACCAACAGCAGAGACAGGATTCTGAGATGTTTTGTACAGAAGCCTCTTCCAATTACTGAATGTGTCATGTCAAAATGAGTGTTGTACAGCAAAGTTCCTCAATCTTTCCGGCTTTGTGGACTGGCCAAGAGGTGGGTGGGAGAGAGGATGGTTCTGCACAAGTGGTGGGCATGCGTGCATGTGTGCAACTTCATTTGCTCGAGTGGCTGGCACACACCGTTCGTGAAAATGGAGCGCATACACACACACGCACTTGCTCGCTGCTTGCACAAATGGAGATGTACGTGTGCCAGCCACTTCTGCAGCCCAGTTCTGAATGATTCAAGATCTGGTAGTGGGCCTCAGCCTGGGGGGCTGGGGACCCCTGTTATAAGATAACTTTACATGTGTAGTTGTAAAACCTCCTTGTCAAGTCAAACTGCAGCCAGTTCATGTAGGTCTACAACAGTCCTAATTCCAATTTTACAGAATTATACCTAAATAACAGATCACAGTATCGAAACATCACCTGAACTCTATAGCAGTATTACATTTAATGGCAGCAACAATAAATCAAAATGAATCGGGCGAGTTCCAGTAACATCCACTTGACTAGCCTAAGCATTGCTAGTGTCCTCTAAAGATCCTGGTAATAATTTCAGTGAGACATTCGCACTGTGTCTTCCCCTCTGCCCAACTCCTAGGTAGGAGAGCTCCACTCTAAACATAAACACAATTACAGCACAGTAATATTAATGCACACTTTTTATTATATTAAAATCAGGCAATGGTCTGATACAATAAAAAGGCTGCTTATGGAATACTGTTAAATTTTTGTTTAATTACAGAGGATGTTAAATCCTTACAACTAATATGCTCCTCAAAAGAGTGAATGGAAACATCAATTATTCATTGACTTGATACTTCTGCTTTTAAACGTTGACTTTTGCTTTTTGTTTTACATGAACACTGCGTTTTTAATTTCGTTAAGAGGATACACTGGATTCTTTGCACTTAAGCTTTGCATCCACGTTTCAGCAGTCGGTGGTCCAAAACAAGGAGTCTGAAAAAGAAGTGGTCTGCCAAGAAGCCTCACCCACCATGCATGGCAGCATCGTCTGATTCTTTAGGAAAGGAAAGCATCTCCCCTCTCTGCAGGGTGTCAGAACACAATCTCCTCTTCACAAAGTGGATTTGTCTTTTTTGCCGGCAGGCTGCTACAGAGCCACAAAGTTACGCATGCCGATGAGCAGTTAACATGGCATTCAAGCAGAGGTAGTGACCTTCAGCTCAGAAAGCTGGAGTGTTTGTTTCAAACATCTGTGTAGAGATCTTTCCGGAATATCTAGCCATTCCTAACAGACTTAAAACGCTCCTGGTAAATTACTGCTCTTTCACTGTATCAAAACCCTGTCTAATATGTCAGCCATGGCTAGCTTTCCAGTATGGAAACTGCCACAAAATAGGAAGGGAAGGCTGTTTGTGAGTAAAACCAGACATTCTTGTTTTCTCAGCTGGTGAAGATTAATTTATAGACCCTACCCATGCCCCACCCCAAAATTGACAAGCATGAAGCAATAATAATAATAATAATAACAACAACAATAATAATAATAACAATAACAACAATAAAATCAGGCAGTTTGCCAGCCACTTACCTCTTTTGGCCAAACGTAAAGCATCATAGAAGGGGCAAAAAGAAAGCAGCACCCCAACCATGACAAGACAGACAGAGAGGAAAGTCTAAAAAGATCCTCCAGATCTGTCATCCCAAGGCCCGCGTTCTGGGGGAAAGGGTGAGACAGAAATACAATCTATGCCTTAGCAAAGGTTTTGGGAGAAAGAAGAACCTGCCCCAAATAAGCATTCATTAAAAGCAGAAAAATAAAAACCAACCCTAGAGACATTCAGCGTTTTACTAAGAGTTTGCACAAAGGGAGGGATGACTGAAGATACCAAAAACATCCCATTAGTAGTCCATACAACCCAGACACAGCTGGTAATTGAAACCTTACGGCACAATCTTTTGGGAACATCGTCTTGGGCAAGCCCTGTTGGATCAAAAGAGAACTGTGCAAGAATCAAGGATATTCTGGCTCAGACTCTGCTCTTTTCAAAAGGGCTTGGGCAAGATCACAATCTATGGATTGTGCTCTCCATGTCTACTCTAATAAATAGCCCTGAGCATCAACTCTATTGCAAACACACAAAGAGAAAGGGAAAGAGAAAGGGAGGGAGGGTGTGAGAGAGGGAGAGAAAAAAAAACGAGAGAGAGAAAACGAGAGAGGAGAAAAGATATAAACCCAGGCCAAACACACAGCAATGTGATTGTGTGATGTATGCTTTTTATGCTTTTTCACAGTCGAGTTCAATGTGACACACTGGTCTTTTGACAGTAATAAATTTAAATAAACTTTTCTTGATACCAGAAGTTCAACTATGTGGACAGTGGTTACACAGGACAGCATTATTTGTTATAGCACAACTTATTTTCAAATGGAAAAAAAAAATTAGTATCATTTACAGTATCTCAAGATAAACTTTCCTTTGCAATGGGAACATCCTTTCCAGTACTTGGAGATCTACAAGATGCATCTAGAAAATTTACTACTGTGGGAAATGAAGAGAGCTTAAATTGAATGATGGGGCATGATTTTTCTTTTTTGTTTTCCATTAATTACTGTAACATTGTCCTTCAGGTGGTTGAGGAAGTTTCATATTTTCTTTAGACATCATTAGACGCCGGAGCTCTTGCAGAACAACTTTGATACTATAACAATTCTGCCATTTTGCTAGGACTGATATGGCTCTTGGATCAACCTGGCGGAAAACAATGAACAAATTTAAGTCTCAAATAGCTTCATGTCGGTAAACTAAAACAATCAGGCCTACGATTAAAGGGCTACAAAATTTCACAAATACAAAAGGTTCCTGACTTGTATTTCTTGAATGCAACTAGATACCTCCAATCTAGTTGATGTATCACAGGGGTAGTCAACCTTGGCTCTTTTATGACTCGTGGACTTCAATTCCCAGAATTCCTGAGCCAGCTTAGCTGGCTCAGGAATTCTGGGAGTTGAAGTCCACGAGTCATAAAAGAGCCAAGGTTGACAACCCCTGATGTATCACATTGTAAAAATGAGACAGTTTTTAAATACAGGTAGTCCTTGACTCACAACTGTTCATTTAGTGACCATTTGAAGCTACAATAGCACTGAAAAAAGTGACTTACGGCTGCTTTTTACACTTAGGGCCGTTACAGCATCCCTATGGTTACATGATGAAAATTCACACATTTGTCAAGTGACTCATATTTATGACGGTTGCATTATCCTGGGGTCATGTTGATTCCCTTTTGCGACTTTCTGACAAGCAAAATCAATGGGGAAGCCAGATTCACTTTACAACTATGTTACTAACTTCAGTGATTCACTTAACAACCATGGCAAGAAAGGTCATAAAATGGGGCAAAGTTCACTGTCCCGCTTAGCAACAGAAAAGTTGGGCTCAATTGAGGTTGTAAGTCAAGGACTACCTGTAATAGGAATGACTATGTCACGAATATTCAAATATTAAGCATGCCAATACCAGCTCTTTGGATTTCATACATGGGCTACAATGTTTAATACAATCTTTAAAAGCAGGAACCAGTTATCGAATCAATCAAAAGAGGCCAATTCAAATTTGTAGAAACTGGGCTTTTAAGGCTTATTTGCTTACTTTGCACAGTCTGTTGGTTTTGGAAAGCAGTGTTGTATGAAAGTAGGAAGCAAAATATCAAAAAATGCCTTTTCCTTCTATCAATAGTTTTTATTAGTTATGTTCTGAAACTCATATTCCCTTTAATACCTAGATTATAGTGAAAAGTCTTTCTATCATTTCATTATTTCTTGAATTGGTGTATTGTCACAACTTCTGGTGATATATAATAAGATCAACAAAATAAAAAAGAAAGATTTTTTTAAAAAATCAATTGAAAATATATACATCGTAACAGTAAAAATAAAAAGTAAATTTCTATTAAAATTATTGGAAATAGAATTAGAACCAGCAGCATTTGGCAATAAATAGCATCTGCATTTTAGTTACATATATTTTCATCAAAATAAAGGAATGATACAAGGATAATCTACCCTTACCTATTTTGTTGGACCTTATTACAGATTTTAGCTCAGAATATAGGAAAAATAAGAACTGTCAAGAGCTTAATATAGAAACAGAGCATTATGTAATCAATATGTTTGCAAATGATATGCTTATTTTTCTTAGGCAGCTAAAAAGAGGTATATTTCAATGGCACAAGAATTAATAGTACAATTTATCTTTAATTAATGTTCTGCTATGTTAATTACTGGCACAGAAGAAATTTCAACAAAACTAGGGTTTCACACTAGTCCAAGGGGATTTAAATATTCAGGAGTAATTATTATAAAGGATTAAAAGGTTAAAGAATAAGTCAATATTTAATAAGTATGATCTCTTCTGCACCAGATTAGAACAAATTTAAGCCATGGGATAGCTTTCATTATCACTGGTCAGTAGAAGAGTTGCAGTCAAAGTAATTATATATCCTAAAATAATATCTTTGTTTCAACATTCTCAATCCCATTGCTCATTACTTGGCTTTTGTATGGAAAATATTTCATTATTTACATATAACTATATATAAAAAACTATAGTTAGATAAACAGTGCAGTATATTGAAAACTTTATACTCCTTGATGATCTCTGAGGCTTCAAATAGATATTGAATAGCCACAGGGTCAGAAAGCTTCCTAAAAATTCCATTTAGGGTTAGGTCACCATGAACTCGTATAGGAAAATGGACATCACCAACAAATTCGGAGTGCTTCGGCATGGCTAGGAGGGCACTTACATTTCTAGGCTGCCCTATCTATGTTTCCTGGTAAAACATATGGGAAAATCCCATTGGAGGAAAATTCCATTTAGGGTTAGGGTTAGGTCACCATGAACTCGCAGAGGAAAATGGACATTGCCAACAAACTCGGAGTGCTTGGGTATGGTTAGGAGGGCACTTACTTCTCTAGGCTGCCTTATCTATGTTTCCTGGTAAAATGCATGGGAAAATCCCATTGGAGGAAAATTCCACTTAGGGTTAGGGTTAGGTCACTATGAACTCAGAAAGGAAAATGGACATTGCCAACAAACTCGGAGTTCTTAGGTATGGTTAGGAGGGCACTTACTTTTCTAGGCTGCCTTATCTATGTTTCCTGGTAAAACATATGGGAAAATCCCATTGGAGGAAAATTCCATTTAGGGTTAGGGTTAGGTCACCATGACCTCGTAGAGGAAAATGGACACCGCCAACAAATTCAGAGTGCTTGGGTATGGTTAGGAGGGCACTTACTTTTCTAGGCTGCCTTATCTATGTTTCCTGGTAAAATACATGGGAAAATCCCATTGGAGGAAAATTCCACTTAGGGTTAGGGTTAGGTCACCATGAACTCAGAGAGGAAAATGGACATCACCAACAAATTCGGAGTGCTTGAGTATGGCTAGGAGGGCACTTACTTTTCTAGGCTGCCCTATCTATGTTTCCTGGTAAAATATATGGGAAAATCCCATTGGAGGAAAATTCCATTTAGGGTTAGGTCACCATGACCTCGTAGAGGAAAATGGACATCGCCAACAAATTCGGAGTGCTTGGGTCCTGGGCACTTACTTTTCTAGGCTGCCTTATCTATGTTTCCTGGTAAAATACTTGGGAAAATCCCATTGGAGGAAAATTCCACTTAGGGTTAGGGTTAGGTAACCATGAACTTAAGAGAGGAAAATGGACATAACCAACAAATTCGTAGTGCTTGGGTATGGTTAGGAGGGCACTTACTTTTCTAGGCTGCCTTATCTATGTTTCCTGGTAAAACATATGGGAAAATCCTATTGGAGGAAAATTCAATTTAGGGTTAGGGTTAGGTCACCATGAACCCGTAGAGGAAAATGGACACCGCCAACAAATTCGGAGTGCTTGGGTATGGTTAGGAGGGCACTTACTTTTCTAGGCTGCCTTATCTATGTTTCCTGGTAAAA